ATTTAGCCATTTTCAAGGATTATATATTTAACTGTTAAATACGAAATAGTTTGTTGCATGTATGTATTTATATAATGTATAATATTTCAAGATATTGTGTCCATGTTCATAGTTGATATTATTAAGTGTTTTGGGGTTTTTTTTTATTAATAAGGCTTCCATTATTTTTATTTGTAGATGTTGCTATTTGTGTTGTCAACAAGTATGTTACGAATTGGGTCCGGTAGGTCTCCATGAATATTTAAATGAGATTTAATTGAGCTATAATCAGAAAAATGTCGAGTGAGTCTTCGTGTCAAACATGTTGTAGTGTGGCCTATATAATTATTTAAAGCGTTTGGAATAAAAGAACATTCGGACAGTTTTTATATAATTTATCATCTGAAAAGAAAAAATTATTAGATCTCATGAGAAATTGTATAAAAACTAAATCAAAGCACCTTGTCTGTCGTATTCAATGAAATGTGCATGAAAGAAGGATTTCTGCCTAAATACACAAATATATATATATATATATATATATATATATATATATATAATAAAAGGCTTAAACACTAGTATTAGTGTTTAAGCCTTTTTTTTATATCCTTACTCTGTCCTAGACATTGAGTTCTACCTGGATTCTTCCTCTTGAAAAAATTTTTTTTCTGAAAATATACATGTATGGGTATTTATATATTTTGCATATGTATGTATATTTTCCACTAATATTATCTATATCTATATATATATATATATATATATATATATATATATATAGAGAGAGAGAGAGAGAGAGAGAGAGAGAGAGATAGATAGATAGATAGATAGATAGATAGATAGATAGATAGATAGATAGCATAATTTTTGTCAACAACGTGTTTGGAAGAACCTAAGTAATGAACTCTGTGTTCTTTTCGCCTCTTTTCAGAACAAAAACATTGTTCATTTATGATGACGTCACGTTTTTCCTGTTTTGACTAAAACGCACGATGTCGCTGTCAGAGGTTTTGTCCAGTGGTTGAATATGGTTGACCATAATGTCGTTCGGTCATGTTGGAGAGATATGTGTATCCGAGTAGGGTCGAGTGTAGGTGAGCATCGTGGAGGCTGGCTAAGATTAATCGCTGGGTGGGTGTGTCTCAGTGGCAACCAGATGACCTTTTTATGTTTGAGAGAGGAAACGAATAAACAGTCTGCGGGAAACTCAAGTCGTCAGAAAGTAGACAATTGATCACAAGCAAAAACAATAAAAATAGAAAATGTAGATAGTGTTAATAGAAAATAAAATCTAATTTAAAAAAAAAAACAAACCAAAGTGGCGTTTGCTGTGACGTTTACTAACCACGAAAGATGAATTGCTAAAAGCTTTTGTGTTTCAACTCCATTAAAGAAGTAACGAATTATGTCTGTCTGTAAAATGATGTACAAAATAAAACTAATATGTCTGCCACTTCTTTTTTTTTTCTCTACTTTTGTTTCCTTCTCTTTCTTTCTGAGTAAGGAGTGTGTTGTGAGACACAACTCTCAGTTTGTTGTTCATCTTTCTGAATTAAAGGTGAAATATTTCTAAATTAAGATGTTAAAATTTTAATTCACTACAGTTATTTTCTGATAATGCTGTGTATGGACATCTGTGTTTATAAAAATACAGACACAAAAAAATTAAAAATTCTTTTTAAAATACTGTAGGTCACTGAATTGTAGTAAGTTTTTCCATCTATGATTAGTAAATATAGTTTGTATTTGATAACAATATCACTTGACCGATACCAATTAAAGTTTATACATTACTCTAAAGAATTTTTTTAAACAATGAAAACAATTCATGTAAAAGTTTATAATACAGCGACAAAAGTGTCCATAATATATTATATTCATAAAAGCAATTAAATCTAATTAAATAATGTTTTAGCTTTATTGAATTTTTTATTGTACGATTCAGAGCAGATTTTCTGTAACCGGGACCCTATTTGACACAGAAAATGATAATTTAATTTCTCTGAGGATTTGTCTTTATAATATAATATAATATAAACATTAATCAGGACAAATAAAAGAATTTCTTCAAATTTCATAAAATTATATAAGTATGCAATAATAGATGTAAAAAAAAAGAGAGATTTTTACCAAGATTTTCTAACAAAGAAACATTTTTAAAAAAATAATCTAATTCACTTCTGAATAAGTCTTGAAAGTTTCATTAAGGTCCGACAATTATCTGGTTCTTACAAGAATTTCCAAATCAATGTGTTTTTAGCATAAAATG